CATAGCCACCTTGTAAGGAGGACACTATGATTATATCTACACAACAGTTGAGAAACATCCAGAGATTGTAAATGGCTTGCTCACAATCACACAGCTAAAGAAAGCTAGGATTTGAGAGTAGGGTTCACCTGATCCGGATGTCCCATGCTCTTCACCACTACACTGAAGTGCAGCAAAAATATTTCTGGAGCTAAAATTCAATGATAGAAGCCAGTTGTCCCCATGGCCACAATTGAAAAGAAAATGTATGCCACATTCCAGAAGTTTAAAACTTTATAAGAAAATGGACTTTCAAATATATATAACTTACTGTGTTTATTTTGAAGTGCAAAGAATTTTCAATGTGCCCCATTTTCAAAAAAGCCCAAAAATGGAAGCATTAAAGACTGAAGTAAAGCAGCCACTCAATCTGTGGCTGGTAGGTGCTCCTCATCACTTGCTGCAACAGGCGTTTTTAGGGAACAGTGAAGCAAAACGTTTACAACTTTATGTTTGTGGTCCAAAGCAGATTACACATAAAGAAACCCATATTTCTAAATCTGGGACATGCCTGTGGTGAGGATGGTTTCCTGACAGAGTTGCTGTGACTTCTCATTAGTAATGGGTCTATACAGTATGCTCCCTGGAGGATTCTGCCTATGCAACATGGGAAGCTCCCAGATGTGCCTATGTTTTATAGGGGTCTGGGGCCTTCAGAGAACACCTGAAGCAATACCAAGGGGAAATGAGCCTCTGTGGCTAGGACCTGCCATGAGCAGCATTTGCCCTTCCACCTCGTTCCTTCTTCCCACCCAATGCAGGTGATCAAACTTTCAAGCAATGCACAAAAATAGCTGGGCACTTGGAGGAGCATGAAGAATCAGATACTTAAAAGTGACACCTAAACACACACACTCACATACGAGGGAGTACATTCTCCCCAAAATGGAAAAAAAGCTCCACTGGGCAGAGCTTTTGTAGTATCCTGCTAAGTGAATGTCGAGCAACTTTCTTGGAGTTAGTGTACTTAGTGGCATCACCTGGGAATGATCTCTCTAGTCACAGTGAATTTTTTCATAAAAGCAGTTTCATTCAAACCTCGTTTTTTGTGATGGTCAATTAAAGAGAACAGGGTGCGGCTGTGAGACTGTACCCTGCTCAGGAAAAATGCCACAGAAACTGTGTTGTTGAAAACAGCTTACAAGGACAGAGCTATGGAAAAACTCAAGTGTACATGTGGTTTTCTCCATTCAAAAGAGGTGAAATGTTGATTGATGACAAACCACACTCTGTCAACTTCCCAAATGGATGACGATAGTGCACTTGGAGTTCATTCCACCAGGTCAGACTGTTAATCCAACTTTCCATTTAGAGGTTCTGAAAAGATTGTGTAACAGTGTGTGACAAAAACGGCCTGATTTGTGGCAGATGTGGAACTGGTTTTGCTACCACAACAATGCACCTGCTCATGCTGCCATCTCATTGTGCCAGTTTTTGGCTTGTCCCACATACCTGACTCACCTGACCTCACTCCATTCAACTTTTTGTTTTCTAAAATTAAGAGGGACATGAAAGGACAGCAATTTGGTGATGTAGAAGAGGTGAAGAAAAAAATTGAGGGAGGTGCTGCCAGCCATCCAAACAAATGAATTTGAAAAAGGTTTCCTAGAATGGGATCGCAGATTTGACAAATGTATTAAGTATAATGAACAGTATTTTGAAGGTGATAAGGTTATTTTGTAAAAAATTAAATACATAGCTTTGAGAAAAAATTTTTAATTAAAAATTCCATTTTGGGGGGTACCCCCTCATGTATTGTATCATCTCCCTCTCACATTCACACATACACCACCACTCTCACAAACACACATATACACACACACTCACACACATAGCCCTACTATCTCTTTACACTACCATTTCAAAATGAAAAGAAATCTTAAAAGCGAAAATGTAAGGCGGCCAGAGGCCCAGAATAATAAAGTAATTCTTCCTAGGAGAAAGGCATTGAAGTGACACATATACTCATGAGAGTGGAGAGCTGAAAGACACACAGTAGCTAGTTGTGGTCCTGGTATTGCCTCACTTCCTGCAGGCAGGAAGCACATGGTCCTGTCTGGTCCCAAACACTGACAGAACACTGAAAGTGTGGGTTCCCTGCCAGTCCTTGGAGCTCATCTTAGCCCAGAGCACAGGGCAATGCTCCCAGGCTCTCCTGGGCCCCCTAACTTAGCCCCCACACAGCTGAGTTTCCATCACAGGTCTCTTGAACCAAAGGAGAGGGCCTGGGTGCCAGCGACATTCCCCGCACATCCTACAAACCATGGATGGGATTTCTACAATCTCTATCCTGTTCCCCACCCCAAGCCCCTCTAAAAATAAGCTCTACTTCTTCCCACAAATGGGTTTGAAGAGGTTCTGTTTACAAAAGGAGCCCTAGTGGGCTAAGCATTGGGCTGATAACTTCAAGGTCAGCAGTTCAAACCCAGCGGGAGAAAGATGAGGCAGTCTGCTCCTGTAAAGCCTACACAGGGTCCCACCGAGTTGGAATAGACCTGATGGTCGTGGGTTTTGTTTGGATTGTCTGTGTCACACAGAGAAATATTTCTGGTTCTATTATATTCAGTTAAAGGGGATTTTAGGAGCTTTCGCCACATGCTAGAAATGTAAGCACAGAGAAGCACTTTATTTGGACCAGTTTCCCAGAGAAGAAATAAGAGTCTGTGAATCCGGTGAAGTTCTCTGTAAATGGAAACCAGGAGGACTTCTTAAATTCATGCCAGTTACGTAGCACCCACCTGTCAGTGGAGGCTTGAGTACTGCTGTGATGATAAACAAGTTCCAACAGCACTTGCAGACTAAGGCAAACGAGGAAGAAAGGCCAGGCAACCACAAATCAGTCAATAGCCACACTGTGAGTCACAGCGATCCTACCTGCAGCTGGCCATGGAGCTCGCACTCGACCAGGAAGCATTCTTTTCTGTTGTGCACAGTGTTGCCATAAGTTGGGGGCTGACTCTGTGACCAGCAACAACATGAGGGAAGAGTGTATGCCTCCCTAAAAAGGGTTCATTTTTCTGGTGAAGTACGGGCAACTTATTAAAGAAAAACAACTAGTTGCCCATGAGTCAACTCCAACTCACAGTGACTCTAAGAACCTCGCTCCACAGCATTTCAGATGGCAGGCCAGCCTACCCAGGGCTCAAACAGCTGCCCTTCCAATACTGCCTGAGTGCATTAACTACTGGCATATACTACTCTAGTCCATACTCAGACCATATCTACCTTCAGGATACCAGATGGAAGGAAATAGCCTCGCCACCCTGACTATTCTGCAGAGAGAGGTGCAAGCATCTACTCACTCGCTGCCCTCAAGTCCATGTGGACTCATAGCGACCCTATAGGACATGACAGAACAGCCCGTGTGGGTTTGAAGAGAGGAAAGCCTCATCGTTCTTCTGCACAGCAGCTGATGGTTTCAAGCTGCTTCTAGGTTACTATTGGCCAGGAGTTTGAAGAACTTCAGAATCACAGATAAGCAGTAGTTCACAAATGATGCAACTTAATAAGAACAAACAAGCACTCCTAACTGTGGTGCAACCAATCACTTTTATGTGGCCTTCCTAGCCATGATCTTGTAACTCCCATTAAATCAAACCAAACCCTCTCCCAGTGAATCAATGCCAACTCATAGTGACCTGATATACTTTCCAAGATGGTAACTCTTTATGGGAACATATAGCCTCATCTTTCTCCAGTGGAGCAGCTGGAGGTTTTGAACCACTGATTCACAATAAGTCACCCAATATTTATTCCACACCACCACCAGATTCCCATAATAGGATGTGTGGAAGTCTTGTCAGGGTTGCTAAAATAAATAAAGGGCATGGAGCCCTTGTAAGGAATTTGTCTTGCTGGGAGGAGGTGGAGCATATTTTGAGATTACTACAGAGCTTTCTATACAACCAGCTTCCCTGACACTTTGAGACACACACACACATACACACACACACACACACACACACACACACACACACACGAGAGGGGTTATAACTTCAAGAGCAGTGAGAGACAGAGATGAGAGAGAGTGCAGCAGCTAGAATGACAACAGTGTGAGATGGCAGGAATCGGGGAAATGTGGGGCATAACAGCTGTGCTGGGGCTGGCTGACCCACAGTAGGCTCACAACACTGTAACACTTGCCCAAGTAGGAACAGGTAGCAGCAGGGAATACAAGCAGGGCCCAGTAGCAGTAGCAGCAGTAACAGCAGAGAAGCTGTCGTGATCAAAGCACTGTATCCTGAGTGGCTCCCAATGCTGAGTAACAGTTATAACCAGCTACTTTCCTAATAGACGCCATAATCACGAGCATGGTGAGACACAGCGGCAAATTACCTATCCCAAAGGTGGAAGGAAGAGTATTAAGGGAGGGAGCAGTTGGTGCTAGAGATGGCCAGGTACAGGTCTTGGAATTGGAATACTTTTAACCTCTATCTCCTAGGAACCAGCTTTGTGCTGATTCTTATAGGCAGGATTATTCATTTGCTAAATAGAAAATAGAAAAAATAGAAAAATAAAAGCATATAAAACTTGAGGGTTTTTAAAAAACTAACTAGAAGTCCTTTTAATCTATGCACAACCTGGTTTTTTTTTAACTTAAAAAACAAGACTCTTGAGGCCTGTCATTCCTTTGCTCACATGTTTTCAGCTGTTGGCATCCCTATTCTCCGTGATATACTTGAGGGCACATGCAGCTTTCAAAGAGTTGGTGAAAAGTGGGTATTTAATACAGATTTGTAGGAAGTAAAACCGGAAAGAAAAAAACAACTAAGTTCGTTTCCACTTCTCCCATTTACTGCCATGGCAAAAGGTTTCACAACAGGTCACTCAGGCCTAAGGACTGATCGAGAGTTGGTTCCATAAAACACACCGAGCCACTCACCTTCCCATTGAGAAGAATCTGATGGCCCAGAAAGTGCTTTCTGGATCAGAACTGTGAGGAAAGCAAGCAGCAGCCTCACCTTTTCATCTTGGTACAACTTGTTGACACTCTCCAACTGGAAGTTGTGACTCAACTGGATTTTGTCCAGCTGCTCCCGCTGCTTCTCCAGTTCACCCTGAAACTCGTTCTTCTTCAGTTCCACAGCGCCTCGCTCCGCGGCCGCCCTGCGGACCCTGCCTTCCAGCTCCATGATGCGTGTCTGTGACGAGGGCACAGAATAAGGGTGACTGCCAACTCTTGCTGCAGACTTCCCGCCCGACTCCCTGCCACAGACATCCACTGGGGCCCAGCATTGGCATCAGGCTTCACACCCTCCGTGGGTTGCAAAGGCTCATGCCTGTAAGTCACTGTGTGGAATCTACCACAGGCTTTTCTAGAGATGCAGTGGTGCAACTGGAGACCTTCACATCTGGGCTCTGGTGCATCATGTCCTGTTAGATGGAAGCACCACTCAGCATGCTCTGGCCTTCAATGGGGGGATGGAAGTAAAGTGCTTAACCAGGCATAGGAGGCATACAGGTGTTTAGTTCTTTTCCTGGCTAGCAAGACATCTGACAACTTTGTATCAGATAACATGCACTCCTGAAAACAGATTCTGTTCGCCAGCACCAGACCCCAACTCCCCATCTGCCCAGAGAAGAGAGGCTCTGGTGGATACTGAGACATAGGTCTCCCACCATGAGAAAGCAAGCACGAGATCAGGACAGAATAATAACAATGCTTGGAGGAGGAGGAGGAGGAGGTGTTTCCTGCCTCTGAGGACGCAAGCTCTGCTACCAGAAAGAGTTGGTTTGCAGCCCCAGCCCCACCTGTGCTAACCTCTCTGTGCCTCAGTTTGCCTACCTGCAGAAGTCAACAAAGGAAAATTGATGAACAAAGGAAGATGGATAACAGTAAGTGGGAAAACAATATCATTACCATTGAAGGATGACGCAAAAGATGGATGCTTTTATAGACATAGCCCTCAGACCCATGACTCAAATACACTTCCAACACCATTCTTTGCTATCCAGGATCAGGAGGTGGGCTGTGGTCCACATGAAGCCAAGCTCTCTTCCAGAACCAGCCCAAATCACTTGACTGGAACCTGCTGACTATGGCAGCCATCCTGAAAACTCACAAGTGGATGGCACAAAGAGTCTTCTCTCACCCAAGAGCACAGCTGAAGGTGTGGAGAGCCAGGCCCAGAGCTGGGTTCACACATCACAGGGGGTGGTGGTTGTGGTGGTGGTAGGGTGTGTATGTGTGTGTTGTGTGTATGTATCATCACCTTATAGCATATGCACACCCCTGCAGTGAGATCTCCATGAAAATAAGTAGCAAACCACTTAGACTCACTGCGTAGCAACCTTAAATACTGACATCAGACAGGTGAAAAAACAGGCAAAAAAGCATCTCAGATAGGCTCTTGGAATATCAAAAGAGTATTGTTGTTCGTAGGTTCAAGTTGGTTCCAACTCACAGCAACACTATGTACAACAGAAGGAAACAATGTTCGGTCCTGCACCACCCTCATAATTGTTATACTTGAGGCTATTGTTGTAGTCACTGTGTCAATCCAAAATAAGAACATTAGGTACAACTAATTATGTTAGGTGAAAACTAATGAAACAAATCTGTGTTAGAAAGGGGCAGTCAAAATGCTCCTTAGACACAAGGATGGCGAGACTTTGTCTCGTACTTTAGAACATGTTATCAGGAGAAACCTGTCCTTGGAAAAGAACACCATGCTTGGTAAAGTAGAGAGGGAGTGAAAAAGAGTAAGATCCTTAACAAGATGACACAGTGGCTATAGCAAACAGGAAAATTGTGAGGATGGCGCAGGACCGGATAGTGTTTAGTTCTGTTGTATATAGGGTCACTATGATTCAGAATTGACTCGATGGCACCTAACAACAACAACATATAGGGTTGCTGTAAATCAGAACCAACTTGATAGCAGCTAACAAAAAAAAGCAAGGTTAAAAACTAAGAAAATCTGAACTTTAGTTAATAATAAAGTATCATTAAACACTAGGCATATAAAGGAACTCTGTACCAATATTGAAATTTCTCTGTAAAAATAAAAATCTTCTAGTCTCCCTCTCCCCATAACCACAACACACACATACCTTGAGATCCATGCTCCGGGAGCTTGCGATCCAGTAGTTGAAGCCCAAGACGATGATGCAGGCCACCAGGGCGGCCAGCATGAGCGGCGGTGACTTCATGCTCCGACGCCCGTTTCCCAGTCCCATCATCTCAAGGGCTGGGCTGAGAATCTGCCAAGTAAAAACAAACAAGTATGCCCAACACTATTACCATCCAGGAAGTGGGCTAGGTCCAGCACCACCATCATGTGCAAGAAAAATGAAAAAAGAAAAGGAAAAAAACAAACCAACAGTCACGATCAAATCGAGTCTCACTCCCAGGAGTCTTATGGGCATCGAGAGAGCTGTGCCCCATAGGTTTTGAATGACCAATTTTTCAGAAGTAACTCACAAGGCTTGTCTTCTGAGCTGCTTGTGTCCAACCTCCAACCTTTAACTGTTTGTATAAGGTTCATTTGCGTCAACCCAAAACCTGCTCTGATTGAATACGAGCTTAAGTGGTCAAACGCAAGGAAAATTTGATCTTTCCAACTGGCTTCTGCCTGAACAGATAAAACAACACCTTCTCAGAGTGAGGGTAGCCATTGCAAGAGAAAATTCCCCTTCTTTGTGGGTGTGTGAGGAAGAGGAGGCATCTTTGGACAGAGAAGCCATTTCCTAGTTGTAGGCCTTTGTCAACAACCACTCAGGGCTCTTGCTCACCTTTAAGAAAAAGTTCTTGAGAATGCTCCACACAACAGCTAACAGAGCTAGTTTTGACTCTGTGGTGTTTAGACTTAAGTGGTCATCAACAGATCCTTCCTCTTACTAGTTATGCCCTAGCTATTTTATGAGCCTCTACAGATAAATCATCAATCTAGTTGAATCATCTAAAATTAACCACAACAAGAATTACTTCAGGTAGAGCTGATGACCATCCCCACCTCGACTGGTGGCTCCTTCGTCCACTTCTGGTCTCCCAGGATGAAAGAGGAAAATAGGTTTTACATTTACTTGGCAGCTGAAATCAGCAAGCACTGTACATACCCATAAAGAAAAATGCTCAGAAACATTCAACTTGTAGGAGACCCTCCTGAAAGCATATCTCCGCCACCCTGTCATAAGTGGTCTTGTTCACAAGTCTTTTTTTTTTTTAACCCTTTTAAAATATAAAAGCACTAGATGTAATTTAGGGGAAATTCACACACCATAGGAAAAAGTACAAAACAGTCTCTCTCTTCTGAATCCTGAGATAATACACAGTTATGTATCACTGGAATGCCAGTTTGGGCAATGTCTGTTCCCACAGATTCCAATCCCCCCTGCCTTTTTTTTTTTTTGGTAAAGGGGAAACAGCTCTTTTTGTTTATTCTCTCCACTAAGGGCTTTAGAGACCACATGGATACAGGCAGGTAGAGCAGAGGGCAAGGTTCTCCTCAAAGGTTCTCAAGCTTTGTCTGGCAAGTGGGCAGAGGCAATAGGGGCTGGGGCCTCCAGGCTGCTCAGGTGGTCAGAATAGCAAAGGGCCTGGGTGTGTTCCATTCCCCCTCACCTGCTTCCTCTCACTCAGCTCCTCTGTCTGCTTTCCCAACTGCCAAGCCATTCTTCCAGCCTCCACCAGCAGCTGTGACAAGGACAGCTAGAAGCAGGCTCTCATGAGGTTTCATTATTATGTTCACACAAAGTCCATATCACATTCTGTCCTGTTTCACAGAACATATAGTGGATGTTAAGTGACATGTACCTCTAGTAATATTTTCTAAGGTCTGTATCACCAGTGAACCTTGGTGGTATAGTGGTTATGTGTTGGGCTGCTTACCAAAAGATTAGAAGTTTGAAACCTTTTGGAAACCTACAGGGGCAGTTCTGCCCAGTCCCATTGGGTAACTAAGAGTTGGCATGGACTCAGTGCCAGTAAGAGAGTTTTAAATCTTCCACCTCAGCTGCGTTCAACCCTCCATGAACATCAGCATCACATTACTATTGTTAGGCTCCATTAAGTCTATTCCAACTCATAGTGACCAGTGTGCAACAGAATAAAACACTGCCCCATCCTCACAATCACTGCAATGCTCAAGCCCATCACTGCAGCCATGGTGTCAATCCATCTTGTCAAGGGTCTTTCTGATTTTCACTGCCACTCCACTTCACCAAGCATGATGTCCTCTGCGAGGGACAGATCTTTTCTGATAACATTAACTGTGACACTTTAAAAATCGAATGTCTGGATCCCACCTCTGCGTTTCTAATTCAACCAGTTTACAGGGGGACCTAGGCAGTTATTTTTTAATTTTTTAATCTCCCCAATTGATTTTTCACATAAGCCACTATTCTGGATGTTTGAGATGTTATGCTATTTTAATTTACACAAGATGACACCCTTCACATTATTCTATGAATGTCCTGAGAATCCCTTAGTAATACATCTTGCTCTCCTTTCCCTAGTAGCACATATGGCTCACTGAATAGTACTCCATTGTGTACCATTTAACCAGTCCTAGGGAGGCCATTCAAACTTTTCCTGGATAACTACCAACACGGGTGCCACATGCCACAAACAGCCTGTGCTTATATTATACACTTGAATCTGGGTGCATGACACTTTATCCACAAATCTGAAATCCAGAATGCTCTAAAACCGCAAAAGAATACCGAGTTTCTCAATATTTCAGCAACACACCCAGTACCAAAGCCTGACCTGGCCTCAGATCAAGACTCACTCTGAACCTGAAGTTTATTTAATCTTACTCACTTCATATGAATATTCATGTTTCACTGCAGAAGGATTCATGTTTGACTATGGGGTCTTCTTGCAGGTACCCCTGGGGGTGTCACATAATATACAATAAATACATATTATCTTCTGAATTTTGGAAAACAACTTAGATTTCAAAACACACCTGGCCCCAAGGGGTTGAGAAAGGAAGGAAAACCAACAGGGAGCTGAAGATGCATGAGACCAAGTTCATATGCTTTAAACACATCCTCCCATGGGGACAGTGGAGGGTTGGGAGGATAGCATTATGGGTCCTATTTTGCAGGTGAGGAAGTACATCATGGACAACATAAATGTGGGATAAATTCCCATAAGTGTAATTGCTGAGGCAAAATTAATAGCACTTTTCTCCTTCAAAATAGTGGACAATTACACAGGGGGAAAATATAAGAAGAGCACAGTGGAAACCCTGGTAGACAGATTAAGGCTACAATCATTAGTAATGAGACTTATCAATATTACTGCACCCCACAGAAAGAGGGGACAGCACCAGTGGTCTCCTCAATGAGGCACAACCTCCAAATCCTGAGAGTAAATTGAAGGCTATTCTACAAATGACCTGATCAGCACTCTTTCTAGCATGTTAAGACCATGAAAACCAAGGACAGACTGCCACAGATCATGCAACTACAGAGTTGACACTGAATACAATGTTAGATCTTCGGATCTAACCAGGAGTCAGCTGACACTGGAAGACCTGGTAAAAGTCAGATAAGTTCTATACAATGGCTAATACCAAGAGCGCTGAGGACGCTCCAGTTATGCACGCCTGCTCTGTGGGAGGCCCCTACGATGATTTAGTTTCAACAACCCTAATGGATCTCTACTTAGAATCAACTCAGTAGCAGTGGATGAGCTTTTAGGGCTTAGGGCCCATAAGATAAGGTCAACATGATTTCCTTAATTTTGAAAAATTCCATGGTTATGTAAGATGGCAAGATAAGGATCATCTGGGTGAAGGGTATACAAGGTATACAAAGATCATCTGGGTGAAGGGTACTATTTTTGAAACTCTTCTGTAAGTTGAACTATCTATAATACATTTTTGAGAGAGCTTACCATATTGGCTTCCAAATGGGTTGACCATATTGGTTTCCAAATGGGTTGTAATATTTTTATCTTCCAAGCTGTATGAGAATGCATGTTTTCCCAAACAATCACACACAGAATAAACAGTTGGTTCTTTAGAAACCTCATTAGTATTTTTAAAAAAATACACTTATATAATTATTAGTATAAATAAATAAGTACAAATCTTTTCATTTATTTGTCATTTGCTCATTTTGGTGAACTACCTTTTTCATACTCTTTGCCCGTATTAAAATTAGTATGTTAATATTATTGATTTGCAAGAGCCCTGTGTATATTAAAGAAAACTAACATTTTTTCTTTCATCTGGATACATTTTTCTTTAAATTTTTTGTTTTTCTTTCTATATGGAAATTTTGCCCATTGTTCTTGGGTTTTTTTAATACTCAAATCTGTCGATTTCTTTCTTTTATTATTTTTGAATTTCTTTTTACAATTAGGCACTTCCATACTTTAAGTTTAAGAACATATATCCATGTTTTCTCCCAAGATATATATGGTTTCATAGTTAAATTCCACCATTGGTCTGTCATTTGGTCATACCGTGGTGGCCTGCATGCTGGTGTGATGCTAGAAGCTTTGCCAGAGATATATAAAATGTTACAGGGTTACCCATCAGGGACAGGTTTCAGGGGAGCTTCCAGACTAACACAGACTAGGACGGAGGACCTGGCAATCCACTTCTGAATAAAATGGCCATGGAACAAACTTATGAATGAAGCAGAACATTGTTTGAAACTGTGCCAGAAGATGACCCCTTCAGGTTAGATAGCACTCAAAATACCATTAGGAAAGAGACGGCCCCACACTTACAGGAAGATGGGGACAGAGTGAAACATACCAGAGGGACTCCGCAGAATTCAGCCTTGGAGAGTTGCTTAGAGGGAAAGTCAACGCGGCTGGAACACAGGAGGAGCATCATAAAGCTAAGCATGCAAAGATCCACAGGGTTTTGAGGGGCTGGGGTCTTTTGGCTTACCTCACTGGAGGCTGGCTGGGGCTTGACCTTGGCCCTGCCACTGTCTCTGCTGTAGCTGGGACCATTTGGAGCCCGGAGGAAGGCTTGGTCTCAACACAGTCACAGTTTGTCACCACCTGCCTCGGGGAAGGGACTGGACCCTTGCAGCTCCATGGGCAGGGATTGGGGTTCAGCTACATTGTTGCTTTTGTTTCCATCTCTTCTATCTGTCCACAGTCTTCGGAGGGCTGCACAGGGGCTTTTCCTCAATACAGCCAAAGCTTGCCACCCCCGCATCTGGGCAGGGACTAAACCCTTGCAGCTCCACAGGCAGGGATCAGGACTCAACTACATTGTTGCTTTTGTTTC